TATACTTTTTCAGGTACATTAAATAACTACCGATGGAATACAACTGGTATTACTGTACTGGATATATCGTTTTTATACACTCCTAGTGATATATATTTTGATTCGAATGACACATTGTATATAGTCGATGAATCAAATCAAGTTATAGTCAAATTATTGAAAAACGCTTCAACTGCAACCCGTATAGCTGGACTTGTGTTGTCAGCTGGTTCAAATGCTAGTCAATTTTCAACTCCTCAAGGTGTTTATGTTGATTCGAAAGGAAGTTTGTACGTAACCGATTATTATAATAATAGAGTACAAAAATTTGTGAATGGGTCAACACTTGGAATAACTATGTCAGGAATCAATAGCTCAGCTGGCGCGGCACTAAACCAATTTAATGGTCTTCGATATTTTGCAGTGGATGCAACAGAAACATATATGTATTTTACAGATCCAGGTAACAATCGCATTATGTCATATCAAATGAATTCAACAACAGGTACTACCGGACAACTTGTTGCTGGAGGTGCCGGAGCTGGAAATACGAATACACAATTGAATAGTCCTTGGGGAATTTACTATCTACCAACAATAAGTAATTATTTGTATATAACTAACTGGGGTGGTCATTCAGTGATGCGATGGATACCAGGTGCATCATCAGGTCAATTTATTGCCGGTACATCAGGATCAAATGCGACAAGTTTGAGTAGTCCCACAGGTATCAGACTTGATAGTTTTCTGAAAATGTTTATTGTTGACAGTGTAAACAGCCGAGTACAAATGTTTTGTTATAATAATCAAACTGCTACAACAATTGCCGGTAATGGCACTGCCGGTAATAGTGCTACACAGCTTAGCGGACCAAGAAGTCTCGCCTTCGATTCATCGATGAACTTGTACGTTAGTGATACAGCAAATCGTCGTATTCAGAAATTTGTTAAACTCTGAAATTTATAAATAATACACAACATCACTTTATATGACATTTTAGAAGAAAAAAAACACGTTTTTGTTTTATTTTAATCTTGTATTTTATTTATTATTGATTAACTATTTTTGTTTCGAAATCTTTTATGATAACAGAATAAAATGTAAAAAATATGCAAGATCATTTGATCTGAAGGTTAATTTTACTTTTCTCTTCAGTTGATCATCACTGTTTCGCTACAGAGAAAAAGAATTCAGTTTCTTTTGAATAAAACTAAATTTCGAAATAAATAAATGAATCAACGGAAAGCTTCTTTGTTTTTCTTCAAAGAATTCATTATTTTCATCGAGTTTCCTAGCAAACATATATATTGTGTGCAACTCATGCCATTCTTTCCACTTTATTATAATGCTAACGTAAAATTCAACATTCACTAGAAGAAATTCTACATAATCTCACGGTTACTCAGTTACGAATAATACTCATTAATTCCAAATCAAACACTTATTTCTGACGAACAGCCTAGAAAGTCTCTACCCCTCAAACCATTTATGCATCCAAATATATTCCGATCTCAACACACAATCGCACTTCATATCTACAGGTTTTATTTCAACAAAACACATATTGAATAGTATTTTTCTTGCCAATATTCTTCTTTTCACAAATACTCTCTGACGCCCATTAATTAATTTAGTTAATAAGCAGGATATCGATCGACGACTATTGATAACATATGTCCCTTCTCAAACAACAAGATTCAATTATAAATAATTTCGTAGTGTACTATAGTTTTCCGTCAACGATCACAAATATCACTAAAAAATGGCTTTATTTATATTTGACTACGATGATGCAAAACAAAGAAACTCATCCACAAATTCATTAGTATTTTTTTACTAGTGACCAATATATCGTCGATATCAACATTCACAACCTGGTACTTTGTTGCTCCACGAAATGAATCCATCAATTTTTTTCTCGAATTTCACTCCGTTTCTGCCCGATAGATCTAATGTAGTAAGCGTCTGTATAAAAAAGTGCATATAGATATACGAAATAGATGAGGAAGAGAATGATACTTACCTTATTATTTCTAAATGCATCTTTTAAATGCTGTACTCCAACAGCTCCGATTGGATTCAATTCGAGATTTAATTCGGTAAGTGTCTGCATGAAAAATTGCACATGGATATATGAAATAGATGAGAAAGAGAATGATAATTACAGTATTATTTCGTAATGCATTTGCTAGATGATGCGCTCCAACTGCTCCGATTTTACGCCATCTCACATCTAATATGGTAAGTCTCTGTATGAAACAGTACAGATGAGTATACTGAATATATAAGGAAGGACGGGAGTTACCGTATTGCTTTATGAGACGTTAGTCAAATCGTGTAAAGAAGGATGAAGGTAGAAAAGTGAGGTATTTCTTTTTTTGCAAATCTTCACCTCCGAGAGTTCAAACATTAAGAAAAATATGATGAGAGAGAAGAAGTTGCTCGTGTCATTGCGGATGAAATTGATGATCAGATATTGCTCGACATAGTCACCTATTTTTCGTGAATATTCAATAATATTCAATTAAGCAAATCAGATTGGAGAAGCTTCTATCATATTATACGTCAACGAATTGTTTTGATCTATAGCTATGAGAAGAGCATTTAGAGGTTGGCAGTTCTTCGATAAGTTTTGCTGCATATCTGTGAAAGGTTATCTCATCGAATCGTAGGAATTCAAGCTATTCGTAGCTGTGTAAATGTTGAAGATCTATATGTATTATCTCTAAGTGTTATCACATTTCTTTATTCTGGCATCTGTCACTAATTAAATCGAAGTGTTGTCTGTGTGAAGTAATATGTGTTCATATGCAATGAAAAAAACTAGTAGTATGTAATATAATATTATAGAACTCTTCTGACTGCAAAATCAATCAGGTCAAGGATAATTGATTTGTTTCATCTACAACTCCTATGAGGCCTTCAGTCTCTACCAAAAAGCTACTTTCAACACGAAAGATATGTTAATAATAGCTCAGATATACAGGGAAAAGTAATTTCTTCTTTCCTTTCTTTTCTAAATATTGCACATGGATGAGTAAAAACAATGTGGAAGCAGTGTAACGATCAGAAAAAAAAGAAGAGATTGTTTTATGTGTATTTTCGTATTTCATTCGTAATACTTCAGTGCTGTATATAAATTGTTTGAGGACATGAATGCTTGACAAATTACTATGTTTCGTCATTATTTTATTCACGCATTTTCTCAAAGATATAGACTGTAAGAATGGGAGGTAATTCAAAGATAGCAGAAAGATAGATAATCATATTAAAAAAAGTTTACTTGGTATCGATGATAACTGTCGAGGATTACATTGAACCGTTGACACACATTTTGCATTGAGCACAGCATTGTAAAATCAGTTTAATGATCCAGAATTCGGTAGACAAGTTCTACCGGTAATGTGAGAAAAGTAAGAGGCATTTTGTTCGGTCTCGGTTAAAATTGTTGCGATGGCTTTGTATGGCGTTTTATGTTGGAAGAACGAAGTGTGTTGTTGTTTTAATTCTGTTATTTTAGTAGATTTACACTTGTGATGTGTCATAGATTTCTCATAGTGATGGAATTACTTTTTTGAAAGACGAGAATGAAAAATAATGACGACAAAGGCTACACTGAGATAAGAAGTAGAATTTATTTATTTTTTGGTTAAGCCCTCGTGATACAACGACATACAATAGAAACAAATATTTAGTTGTTAACTCGATTGAATTTACTTTTTCTAACATTGTATTTGATTATTTCATGACAAAATCAAACCACTGAAGCTTATAAAATAAAAACAAAAAAAAGCATTATTTATAGATTGTAGGTATGCATCTTCACTCAAGTCAAACCCACACCCATCCTCAAAACTGTTAATTAAGTTTGTAGTACTGTGAATTCTTTCATCAAACTTTCTATTTCATAAACTTTAACCTAGCACATTTTTAAGAGATTCTGTGGAAATCTGTAAATGTTGTGATTGTTATATGTTCTAGTAGTTATTCAAGATCATTATATCATCGAACTCAACAGTTTGCTCACCAAACTGGTACTGTTTCTTTCAGAAAAGGATCAGCGAATTCAAACACTTCATATACTGACTCCGTTAGTCAAATTCTTGCTGCAGTACAATGATTAAGTATACATCAAACATTGATTTTACGTAAGAACGAGAATGATTAGAACTTAATACTCAAAAATGACTGAATAATACCAGTCATATTTTTTTAGATTATAAAGTCATATTAAATTTCTTATGATTCATATGTGAACTAAATCATGATCCTGTTATATTTTGCTTTCTCTTCTTCAAAGATTTTTCTTGACTTGATATCTGTCTTTGGATCATTTCTTGAAAAGATAGGAAATGTCTATAAAAATTTATTAGTTTTATTACTTTTGTCATGTTTATATTTGAAATTGACATGAAAAACAGATAGAGAATTCATTTATTAGTCAATCAATATTTATGAAGTTTTCTTGTCATCGATTGACATGATAAAATTCATTATAATAATAATCTAACTTTGAAGTTCATTGGTTTTGAAACATCATTGATTAAAAAATTCGATTTGTTTTTATTTTGAGTTGTCTTTTAAATAGCACATCCTAATCGTCCACCATATCAATATGATCGTCCGATGGATGCAAGAAAATACAATCATAAGAACACAGAGAAGAAAAGAAAAGGTATTAATACACCAGAAGACAGAAAAAGAATGGGAGAGCGCAAAAAAAAAGCACACACAAAGTTCTAGAAGACAACAACATATATTAATAGACCCAACAAAAAAAATCGAATAATGATGGAACCATTCTGAGACACGAAAAAAAGAAGAAGAAGAAGAAGAAAACTGAGTATTATCATACAACCAAAGACACAACACATTGACATAAATATGTACAATATACATGCACACATTGAGAGAGAAAGAAAAATACTCGAACGGCAAAAGAAATAGAATAATTAATTTAATTTATGCAAATACCATCGTTATTTAATTATTTTTTTTTCAATAAAACATACAATCTGACAACAATGATATTGTTTTGTTTGTCATTTCATCTTCCACCACTTGTTATATATTGATGAAAATTGACACCAGGCGTTACATTTATATCTTCAAATGCTTCTGTTTGTTCAACATCAACAGCTTGCAATTTTTTAAGTACCAATAATGTATAAAATTTTTGTGCTGTTAATTTTCTTGTATGATAATTTGGATTACCAGATGAAAGATGATCATGAAATGAAAGTGCATCAGAAGAATCAAATGCACGTTCAAATGCATTTAACATTATTTTCGCACGACGATTTAATTTCTTTCCGGATTCAAAATCCTAAAAAAATAAATTAAGCTTCGGTTTCTTTTTTATGAGTATTTTAGGAAAAGATCAAAGAGAGGACGATTCTCTTTGCAAGAACATAATTATAAATAGAACAATCTCATTAAGACAAAATCCACGAGATATGAGTAATAATCTTAAGTTTGAGATAATCTATAAAAGTGTCATTCTTATATTTTATATAGATGTACAATACGTTCTTAACCCAGTTAGTCCCACGTCTCAACGAATGGACAAAGTTTGTTAATAATCTCATATCTAATAAGAGTGATGCATGTTGTCAATATTTTTATCGGAAATTTTAAAAAACTTCTTACAGCTATTTTCGATCTTTGTCCCTAATCCCCTACGCGGAAGTTAAATAAGGTTTTTGGTCATTCCCGTAGGGGGCTAGGGTATCGGTCATAATTCGATCAAGAGCTGTGTGAAAAGTAATCTATGGAATATCACTAGGTATCATTTCTAACTTGATTTTAACATAGAAAACCGAATTATTTTGCATGTCGCAAGAGCGCATCTTCTCCTGTTAGGATAATGATGGTACTCCAAAACCCCAGTAAGTCTAATACCCGAGAGGGCTTATGAAGTTTGTAGCTTTTACATAGATATAGCTACAGAAATTCGCATCTCAAAATCTGTTGGCGCTCATGAGTTATTCGAAAATCACGAAACTTGAAAACATCGTACTATATTTAGTACAGTGGGACTGAAAGGGTTAATGCTTATATTCATTACGATTTGTTCTACAAGAACGAAAAGACGTACCTCTTGTGCTGTCGTTGCTTGTCCATGTTCTTCATCATCTTCATCTTGTTCTTCTTGATTTTCTTTCGTTAAATGGCCCATTCCTTTTTTACGCCGTGTATTTGATGGTGTGCGTGATGGTGATGGTGGTAATTGATTAAGTTCATGTACTTTTCGTCCACTTTTTCGTGTTGGTGACATTGGTGCTGGTATAACATCTATAAGATTATCCATTGATGTTGTCATTGGTGGAAAAAATAATGAATCACCCGGTAAAAATGAATCAATACGTTGACGTTTATCAATATTTGATTCTTCACCTGGTGATAAACTACGTTTTTTAGAATGATTTGCTGAATCATGACCTAAAACTTCTAAATAATGATGATGTGTAGCACGCATTTGATCAATTGATGAATCATCTTTATCACGTTCAAGTTGTTCCATAGCAAGATCATGTTGAATTTGATAATTATCCGGTGACATTTGATCTAATGCTTTTGTTATCATATTACGTGTGATTAACTAAAGAAAACGAATGAATAAAAAAAATTTAATCCTTTTTTATTTACTTGTTGTAATGTCTTTGAATACATAGATGTAGCACTAAGAGAGAATAATTTTTCAATTCCACCGGTTTCTTTCAAGTGCATTAAACGACGTGTCGGTGGTGCTAATTCAAGTACACCAACAATATCTGTTGTATCACTTAATTGTGTTTTCATTGCTCCACTATCAATTTCTTTAACTTCATCAACAATTAATTTTCGTTTACGTTTTGCCGCTTGTCGAGCTGCAGGTGTTTGAGCTATTTAATAAAATAAAATAAAAATAGAAATAAATGATTGACTAGTTTTCCTTTTATACCTGTTGTTGAAATAGGTGGTAAAACGAATTCATCTGATACATTCGATAGAAGAGTAGTATCATCAGCACCTGGAATGTGTTGTAAACCTTGATTTGTATCATCAACATCCATACGATTATTTTCAGCAGCTAAAAGAAAATTTATTGTTTGAATAAAATTTGTTTTAGAATTACCTTCATTTTGATCACCAGCTGGTGCTTCATGATCGTCAAGTGTTGGTAATGCAGGATCATTGTCACCTTCTATAAAATATATATTCAATTTTTTTGTTTTTGAAATAAAAATATCAATTTACCATGAAATGGTGACATAACATGATCATAATGATCTTTTGGATTGGATAAATTTGAATTATCACCACCGATACCTATTACTGAAGCAGGTGCGGCAACTAAAAATGAACAAGATAAAAATTCAGCAATACAATAGAATGATAATAAGGCATACAATCTCCAAAACCATCCAATGCAAATGGATCATCACCAAATGGTCGTGCAATACTTTGTTCTTTACGTATATTTGTACCTAATTAAAATAAATCAATGAAGAATTCTAATTTAGGAAAAAATTATTTATCATACTATCTAATTCCATATTTGAATTTTGTGCATTATAATGGAGTGATGGTTGAAATTTACGAAAAAATTCAGGTTCATCCAAACCATTCGCATCACCTAAAAAGATATATAGATTAGATAAAAATTCTTTTTGTAAAAGTTTTTGTTTACCAAAATCATCATCGAGTGGCATAGGAACACTAATAAAATCTTCTTTCAATGTAATTTCTTCTGCACGTGCTTGATGAATTTGAAATCGAGATGGATCATCAATATAACTAAATATTAATATTTAATTATTACTTGACAAAGATTAATTATGTTTAGATCATATCGGTTGTTCTCACAAAGGTAAATTTTATTTCTTCGAACGTCCTATTTCGAATATTCAAAAATAAAATACTATCATCACATAGACAAATTGAAAATCTTGATAAATTAATAAACTTTGATTTTTCAAAATATGATTCATACATATTTAACTTTGTTCTGAATATATTATGCATAAAGAGTACAATTTTTACTAGAGCATGACTTCTCAATATATACATATAGATAACAATCTAACTGATATAACATCTACGCTCAAGTGTGAAAATAGGATATACCTATTAACTAATTATTACTATATTCTTCTAGAGAGAAATAAATGATGATTATTTAACTTACTCAATATTAAGATCAATTAAATCAAAATCATGAAAATTTTCTGGTAATGTTATTGCAGCTATTGATACTTCTCGTGTATCAGAATCTTGATTAGTATGATGATTATTTGTACCGTCCATTCCAACAATTCCAGGTCGAAATGCCATTTTTATTTTAATAAACGCTTCATTACAATCCGCTAATAAATATTTTGTTTTACGTGAATATATTCGTACAACACCTAATAATAAATGACCTTTTGTACGTAATGCTAATTTTAAACATGGTTCAAGAATTGATTCGCAACTAAGACGTATATCGGTTTCAAATATTTGTGCTTTAGTTAATTTTTTATCCCAATGTGCAGCAAGCCAAAGACGAGCTAATGGACCACGTTTGGTCAAAATTGCATGTGTATAAAACATGCTGACGGTGTACTCTTATTCACCGTACAAAACAATATATGGCAATGAATATATGATAGTTTAAGGTCTTTGTCATAGCCATATTGACAGATAGAACTAAAGACTCTTACATGATGATTTTAATAATTTCAAAATAGATTTTCTTGAGAAAAGAAAAAACTTTGATATTAATAAAAAAATTTTATCAGAAAAAAAAATAATTTCAAATATAATTGTTCGATTTAATGATAGATGGCGTTAGTTGTATTTTTTTTCAATATAAGTAATGTAATGATAGATTTCCGTTTACGAAATTTATTTCGAAATGGGTAAGAATAAAGATAAAAAGAAGAAAGGTGCTGCTGTTCAAAAAACCGCAACAAAAGCAAAAAAGAAAACAGAAAAAGAATTAAAAAAACAAATTGAACAATTAGGCGAGGTAAAATTTATTTATTTCTAAAAAAAATTATTTATTTTTTCTTATTCAGGAAAATATCGAACAATTAATTACAAAACATGTTGGAAAGGATAATACAATAAATGCAGTAATTATTGAAGATCCTGTTGAAAATCCACCATCAAGAAGAGCGAATGCTTCCTTTACTGAACATCCACTTAAAGACGAACTTTTACTTTTTGGTGGAGAATTTTTTGATGGACGTACAACGATTCTTTTTAATGATTTATATATTTATGATATTAAAAAACAACATTGGAAACGTGTAAACACTCCACAACCACCTGCACCTCGTTCAAGTCATCAAGTTCGATATATAGTTTTTGTTTTATTTTGTAACTATCTATTATTATTTTAATTAAAGGTAGTAAGTGTATCAATGCGTGATGGTGAATTATGGATGTTTGGTGGTGAATATACATCACCATCTCAATCACAATTCTATCATTATAATGATTTATATGTTCTTCATTTATCAACATTAAGATGGGAAAAACAAGTAACAGCAACAAATGGACCATCAGGACGTAGTGGTCATCGAATGACAGCAGCTAAACGACAATTATTTTTATTCGGAGGATTTCAAGATTATATAACGTAAGAGAATGCATTTTTATCAAAATGAAATAGATTTAAAAAAGTTTTAATTCTTTTTAGAACTTTTCGATATTTCAATGATCTCTATTCGTTTTGTCTCGATACATTTCAATGGACACAATTAAAACCTATGGGTCAAATTCCGACACCTCGATCAGCTGCTCCAATTGTTGTTTCTCAAGATGGATCAACATTATTCATTGTTGGTGGTTATAGTAAAGAAACAGATGATAAAGGCATTACACATACTGATCTATATTCTTTAACTCAAGGTATAAACAATAAAGAAACAAACTTTAATATTTATATGTATATTTTTGTAGACGAATCATCATGGCAATGTCGTCAAGTTAAAGTAGGTGGTACAAAACCTGATTTACGTTGTGGAAGTAGTCTTCAATGTTATTTAAATACATGTATACTATTTGGTGGTGTCACTGATAACGAAGTTGATGGTACTGGTACTACAGCTAGTGCTTTTCTTAAAACGAAAAAATCTGAAGTGACAAGAATGCGTTCTGTTTTCTATAATGATCTTCATCGATTAGATTTACATAAATTAAAATGGTATCCAATTGAACTTAAATCTGATAAAACAGCAGCAGCATCAGCAGAAAATGGACCACCAGCAAGAATGAATGCTGCAATGGTTATTAAACAAGGAGTATTATATGTTTATGGTGGTTTAAAAGAACTCGATGAGAAAAAACAGGTAAAATTTATTTATTAAAAAAAAACGAAATTTTTTACTAAAAAAATTGTTCATTTTAGTATACATTAGGTGATTTTTATAGTTTGAATTTAAGTAAACTTGATACATGGGTATCTCATAATGTTGATACACAACAGAATGAAGTTCATATTTATTCTGAATCATCTGATGACGATGATGATGAAGATGGTACGATTATTCTTTTCTTTTTTAATAATTTAATTATTGTTTAAATTTAGATGTGAATATGGATAATGATGACGATGATTCTTCATCATCATCATCTGATGATTCCGATGATGAATCTATTGAAATTGAAGCACCTGATTCAATACCTAATGAAACACATGATGATTATTATAATCGTACACGTGAATTTTGGCACATTGAAGCGCGAAAAGAATTAAAGATTTCCGATACAACAGATGAGTCCGTACGAGTTCAACATTTAGGTAAACAAATGTCAAAACTTTTCTTTCAAACTTAACAGTGTATTGTTATTTGTTTTTTCTTATATTGTTATTGTTTCTGAACAAAAACTTTCAAAAAAAAATAAGAAATAAATACCGATGATATAAAAATAACCATGTTCATAATTATTAACCGGAAATGTTCTATTGACAATAAAAGTTAAAAGTATCCATAATCTTGTCTTCTCCTTGAATTTTGTATGCAACAAAATATTGATTCATTCTTTATTTATTTGTAGCAAAATTATATTTCAACAAAAAAAGTATTAATTAGTAGAAAAATAGAATTGCAAGCAGTTGTAAACTGATTTATGGGTGATTTTTGGAAACGAAAGAGTAAATTATCGAAGTCGATGTCAAATGCATTAAAGCTGTTATGTGCATATATTTATTAAATATCACAAGTTCAAAGTACCATGAGGAGTATCATTGATCAATTAATAGGGACCATACAAATATTTTAGATTCGTTGACGATTTTGTCATTATCGTGAATAAGTGGGTTTTGGGGTGGTTCGAAAATGTATAATATACTAATGATGATTTCCACCCCAAACCATAATCTAAGTGTTAATTTCCCCAATTGACATGTTATTTTCCTTGGCTTTTTTCATTGACAATTTCTCGATACTTTGCATCAAAAATAATAATAGTTAAACAATTGTCTGAACATTTTTTCGTCGAATAATTGTTCCATGTATAAATAAAAGTAATGAATTGCGACTTTTTGTTCTAATAGTTGAGTATATATGAGAACGAATAGTTTCAAATGTGCGAGCTGTCGCACATATTGATCATGGTAAAAATAAAGAAGAATAGGTATGTATGTCTATGCTTCTATTCTTTACTTTTCGTTATGCATGAGTAATAAATCTACTCTATACATAATTTTGTGAACGATATTAAAACATTTCTTTCTCTTTCTATTATTCATTGATCAATATGCTGTTAATAAAGAAAGAAAAGGACGATTTCTTCATAAGTCATCTTTTCTTTGTTCTTCTGTCTATATTATTTTTATCATAATACTGAAAATCAACAAATGTGCTTACGATCTAGTGATCTTTTCTATCATAAGAAACAGTCAGAGTTTTCTTTTTCTTATACATATAGAATAATACTTGTACCTGATGGCCGATGTAAGACTTATATTTGTATGAATCAGTAAACTATATTTGTTTGTTTTCTTTTTTTTGTTAAGAAAAAAGCAAAAAAATCTGTTCAACGAGCTACTAGTAACGTCTTTACTATGTTTGATCCAAAACAAGTACAGGAGTTTAAAGAAGCATTTGGTTTAATGGATCAAGATCGAGATGGATCAATATCTTTAGATGATCTTAAAGATGTTTATTCATCATTGGGTAAAACACCGAAAGATACCGAACTTAAACAAATGCTTGAAGAAACAGGTGGACCAGTTAATTTTACGAAATTATTACAATTATTTGGTGATCGACTAAATGGTTTCTAATCAATGAATTTCTTCGTTTTTTTAAAATATCATTTTTATTTAGGTACAGATGCAGAAGATATTTTAATGAATGCTTTTAAAACATTCGATGAAAATGCAAAAGGTTTTCTTGATCGTGACAAGTAAATGATATTTAAAAAATAATTTAAATTTTTTTTTTCGTTTTTAGTCTTCGAGAATTATTAACTACCATGGGAAAACCTGATGAAAGACTATCCGATATAGAGGTAATCGATAAATATTTATTTTCTCATTTTTTTGTACGACTGAATAGTTCAATCAAATGCTTGAAGGTGCACCAGTCAATGACAAAGGTTTACTCGATTATGCTGCATTTACAAAACAAATCAAACGTGGCAAAGAAGATGAATAAATAGTCCTAGATACATTTAATTATTCTTTTTACCTTTAGAATTTAGTTAATCTATTGATATAAAATAAATATAGATATTCATTATAATTAAGAACAGTACAACTGTAGAATATAATATGATCTAATAATCACTAATATCTATCTTGCTGTTATTTTCCACTAATCAAAATCATATGTATAATGTCATTTGTATTATTAGAATTCTTTTGAAGAATAATATGAAAGTGTCAGTTGTCTGAACATTCTATAATTAAATGTCAACTATGTTATAAACAAATCCATTTTTGATTGTTCTGATCTGTTTATAATAAAAGTCATATAGTCGAAAATTAATAACAGTCAATACTATTATTGTTACAATTAATACAACCTATTATAAAAAGATTCTTTAAAGATATCTTAACTTCTTATCTCTAACATACCTTGATTTTATTTAAAGAAAAAAAAAGAAGATAAAATATTTCATATTAAAAAGAAAACAGAATATGCGGATCTTTCTTTTTGTTTCATATATTATTGTTGTTGCTTCTCATTTAATTACAGCTCAAGGAGTCGCTGTATTTAATATTTTGGATGATGGTGCTATTGGTGATGGTACTACCGATAATACTCAATCTATTAGACATACATTAATTCGAGCTGCTGATTACAATTTACCAAGTATTGTGCTCGTACCAGCTGGTGATTTTTTAACAGGTTCATTACAAATTCCATCGAATGTGTCTCTACATTTAGCTTCTAATGCTATTTTACGTGCATCTGATAATGCTAGTCTATATTCATGTGTTCCAAGTATAACAACTGATACAGGTCCATGTGATTATCCATTTTTACTTGTTGATCATGCACATAATGTTTACCTTGAAGGTGAAGGTCGAATTGATGGTGGTGCAAATAGTCCACCAGGTCATCTCGTACGTGATTATAAAGAATCATCAAATATGCTTATTCCAATTGAATGGAATTTACCAAATTGTTCTGGTTATAGTTGTCGACCGAAATTACTTGTTGTACGAAATAGTTCCTCAGTAAATTTAATTAATATTACAATAACAAATTCTCCTCTATGGACAATTACTATTGTTGAAAGTGATCATATTCTTTTTGATAATGTAACAATAATGGGTGATCGTCGTTGGCCAAATAATGATGGTATTGATCTAATTAATTCTCGACATGTTATTATTCGTAATTCAAATATAATAGCTGGCGATGATTGTATTGCAATTATATCACATGGACCATCATCCATGTTTAATATTACTGTTGAAAATATGAATTTACAAAGTACATCAGCTGGAATTAAAGTTAGTGCATATGATAGAAATTCTACTGGTAATATGTATGATATGATATTTCGAAATGTACGTATAACAGATACAAATCGTGGTTTATGTGTTGCACCACGTTGGGGATCAAATATAATATCAAATCTTTTATTCGAACATATGAATATTGAAACACGTTTTTTTGGTTTGGATTGGTGGGGTTCAGCTGAACCGATATATGTTACTGGTCTTTCAACAAATGCTGATCAATTATGGACAGGAATGTTAAAAAATATTACGTTTAGAAATATAATTGCAAAAGGTGAACAAGGTTTTATTGTTCGAGGAAATACAAGTATATTAGAAAATATTCATTTTGAAAATATATCACTGACAATTGCACGATGGAGTAATGTAACTGAACATCCAGCACATGATTATCGGCCATCACAAGAACCACAAATGGCTTGGGCAAAAGTTGATGGAATTTTTGCTATGGATATTGATAAATTTTATCTTCAAGATATTAATATTGATTATCAACAACCTAGACAATCTTATTATGGACAATGTTTAAATTTAAGTAATATTACACAAATGGTGCAAAATAATATTCAATGTCAAAATATAGATTATTTCATATCCGGTCAAAATAGTATTGAAAAATTACATATGATATATTTATTTATAAGCTTGGCCTTTTTTTACTATTTTATTTTATAATAACTAATATGAACTACATATTTTTATCTATGATATTTTCAAAAATAAACATTTTTATAGCTTCCTGATTATCAATAAGATAATAGGTAAGATTTTAATTGATGAGACACAAGAATAATACTGATTGCAATATCAAAACTATTAAGCATTATTTCAAATATTTTATACAAATCAATTTATAAACAAAAGTTAGCCGATAATATACGCATGATTTTAAATCATCTTATGTTTTTATTTGTATCATATTTAGAATTTAAAAATTTTTTCATGAAATTCAAAACACATCGTGAAGACTAACAAACGTCTACATTATGTATATACGTTATTTATTAATGTTTTTGTTTTTTTTAATATAGTTGAGCAGTAGTGGCTGTTGGAGCTGGACGATAACTTTGGTGGTGACTATGACTATGACTTTGGTGTCGATGTTCACGTTGATAATTGCGAGCTTCACGACCATAGTGAACATTACCGTATTCTGGTTTACCACTTCCATTTCCGTGGAATGTTACAAAACCATTTTCTACTTGATGACGTTCTCTTCGTTTACCCAATGCATAGCCAGCTAAGCCAACAGCGCCTGCAGCAAGTAATATTTCCATGGAATGTTGATTACTCTGTCGTTTTGATGTTTATTTACGTATATAATAATACATATAATTTCGTCGCTTTATATATGTATAAAAGGAAAAAAAGGAAGAGATGAAATCAAGCGTGATAAAGACGTAGGCAAAATACTTGTTGTTTTATTTTCATTAAAAATTAGTAATCATTATCGTCAACCATTTTATAACGATGGTATATATGTCATGATTTTTTTTTCAGTTAACGAACCCACCGTTGAATATTTTATAATAAAAAAAAAATTAGTGAAATATTTCATTTTATCAAAACAAATAAATTAGATATGTTTTCATTGACGGCACTTTTAATATTTCCAACTATTAATTGTTTCTATTTATAAAATGAATATGACGCAAGTCTAAAATTTGTTCAAGTCATGATAAATTTGAATATGATGCTTATTTTATAATATTTTATTTTTGTCAGACATAAACAGAATAAGCAAAAACAATATTCACTTTTGGAATGAACAATAAAAAAGAAAAAAAAGAGAGGACATTTTATTCTCTAGGCTATAATTGCGCATTAATAGTGATTCTTGATTGACGTATGTAGTCACATATAAAATAAATGTTTATGTATAGTAGCTGCCACTTCGTGTAGTACCACGATAAAAGTATTTGAAGTAGATGATTTCACAAATGATTATTACTGTAATGAATGTAATACCAAAACCCATACCTAATCGTGCTGAACGAGTTGCTGGAGATTCACCTACAGAAAAAAGAGTCTTTTTTGAATTTTTTCTTAGAAAAACAAAATTTATATCATACCGGTAGTGGTTGCTACTACAACATTTGCAGTAGTTTGAGTTGTTACACTTTGAACTGTTTGAGTCATAGAACTGGATGTAGACATCATTGCTGTTGTAACCATTGTACTAATAATATTATTAATTATTGTAGAACCAGTTTTTCCATTATATGTAGTTCCCATTGATGTATATGTTAAGAGATTTGTCATACCTGTGGTTGATGGCATATCAAGAACTTTCAATCGCCAAAATTGAGTATCGTTTAGAACAGATGAATTAGTTGTAGTGTTTGAAAACAAAACACCAGCATCAAATGTTATATAAAACTCACTGTTTATGCTGTAAATTGTTGGTGGTATATAGAATGTTAGTGTATAATTAGAATAATTTGCATTGCTACTCATATTATGAACATCTATTTGATAAATTGATGTGTTTGATGTTGCATTAGAAACATTAATGAATGCTACAAATTTAGGTCGATTAACAGGTTGATCAACTGATAAGTAAAAAATATTAAAAAATAAATTTAAATTTAAATTTATTGAATTTTACTTTCAATTTGAAATTGTTGTGTAGTTACTACAAAACTTGTATTTGGTATTTGATAAATAATATTAAAATTTGCATTTATTGCAACAATCAATGAATAGAAAATAATAATCAGAAAAAAGTTCATGTTTTTTTATTATTAAAAAAAATTATAGTTATATATGTCTGTTTGTAAAGAAAAAGTAATACGATGAGAAAGCAAGGAAGTAAAAAACTGAGGTGTATAATGTTGGAATTGTTCTCATGTGTTTTCATCTTAAAAGATTACAAGAGCCCTTTCCATGGCTGACAGACACAAGAAAAAAAAAGAAGAAAAAAAAGAAGAAAGTATCGTCTATATGGCACACGATGTAGCAGAAAAATAGGAAAGATAAGTTAGTCAAAAGAACTGAAAAACCTTTCTAGCTCAAACAAACAGAAAGAAAATTAAAAACACGCTGAAATAAACGCCAGTTTTTCTAAACATTTGAAGAATATATTTAATTATATAATAATTCATTTTTATTTAAACCTAAAATTCTCTACGATTACAAAACATTATTAATCTATTCTAAATAGAGAAAAACTAATTTTAAATATTTTTTAAAGATTATACATAAACAAAAATAAAATAATCTATTCAGGTATTATTCAGTATTTCCTCTTTATGTTGGAAAAAAGACAGCTGCTATACGGTGTATTATGTATGTAGTCTGTCATAGACAAGCTTGACGTTGGTACTTATGTAATTAGCTAAAATAAGAAAAAAACTTCTTTGTACATGATGTTTTTACGTCATTTGATGAAGAAAAATTCTGTAAATTTAATAGATTATTATCTTTTTAAATATAAGAATATTATTATTGACGTTTCATTGTTTAAACGACATTCTTTTTTTTTACAGTTGATTTAAAAATACATCAGTCCTTGAAATAACTGCTGTTAAAAATATGCTAATTATAATAGAAAAAAAAAACCTTGAAGTGAAATATCATTTGAGAAAAACAAACTTCACATTTTTATAATTAAAAATATTCGAAGTTTATTTCTGACAAAAAATCATCGAGTCTTGTTAATTAAACAAACTATATCTATTGTCAAAAGCAATCAATAATATTAAATAGTAAAACGAGAAATTTATCTATAGATTTCACATTACCGTTATTTCTCAAAAGATATAGATGGGATGAACTAACGGTATAAACGTACAATATATAGATTCTTATCTGAACTATCATTGTTAATATTTATTGTAGAAGCGCGAATATAATTTATTTTATTTTTAATCGATTTAAATGAAAGAAATTATATGTCTTCATGTTGGTCAAGCAGGTTGTCAGATAGGTCATGCTTGTTGGGAATTATTTTGTCTTGAACATAGTATACAACCAGATGGATCATTATTATCGAATACTTGTTTAAATGAATATGATCAGTCATTATTAACATTTTTCGAAGATATTGGACATAAATATACACCACGAATGCTTTATATTGATTTTGAAACGACAGTTTTAGATGAAGTACGTTCTGGTTCATATCGACAATTATTTCATCCAGATAGAATTATAACTGGTAAAGAAGATGCTGCATCAAATTATGCGCGTGGATATTTTACTCTTGGACAAAAACTTATTGATCATGTTCTTGAACAAATACGACGTATTACAAATCAATGTCATTCATTACAAGGATTTCTTATTTTTCATAGTTTTGGTGGTAGTATATATACGCATATTTCTATATATATATATACATATACTATGTACTTATGTAAAATGTTTTAGGTACAGGTTCTGGTTTTACGTCACTTCTCATGGAACATTTAAATATTAATTATAGTAAAAAAACATGTTTTGAATTTGTTATTTTTCCATCTCCGAAATTATCAACTATTATTACTGAACCATATAATACTGTTTTAAATACTCATATTAGTTTAGAATATGCTGATTGTGTATTTATTGTTGATAATGAAGCTTTATGGGATATATGTACATATTCTCTTAATATTCAAAAAGGAAATTTTGTTCATATCAATCGTCTTCTAGCACAAGTTATATCAAATATAACTGCAAACAGTCGTTTTAAAGAGGGAAATATAATTAGTCTTAATGAATTTCTAACAAATCTTGTACCATTTCCACGTATTCATTTTCCTTTAGTTAGTTATGCTCCTATACAATCAATTGATAAAGCATATCATGAACAAAATACTACACAATCTTTAACACAAGAATTATTTCATAGAAATAATCAAATGATTAAAGTTGAGCCATCAAATGGAAAATATATGTCAGTTGCAATTATTTATCGTGGGTTAGCAGTACCAATAAATGTTAATAGAACAATTAATAAATTAAAAAATGAAAGAAAAATTTCTTTTGTTGATTGGTAAGTTATAGAAAAAAAAGTGTTAGATTAGGAGGATTCTGGAATAGAAGATCAGTTTTAGTTTAAAAAAATAAAGTTTTTCTTGTAATTATGAAAGTTTATTTGATTGAACTGGAACATAACCGATGTTGACTACTTAACTAATATAATAGGGCATGTTGAAGATTAACCTATTTGTATCAAAACTTGTTGACAGTGTGAAACAGTCGTTGGCATTCCAAGAGCATCACACACTATTTGTTGAATACAGCAGCATACAGGAAAGCACATTGGGTCTGGTTGGGAGTTGTTGCTTGGTTGTGCTTGAGGAATTGGAGCTGCTTGTAGTTGAGGAGCAAGAGCTGAATATGGTGAAGAGCTAAGATCTTGTTGCGGTGGTGAAATGTATTGTGGTTGTGGTGG